TGTTCTGTATGATAAATAAAATAACATTGTACCTTGAAAATCAATAGCGGGTAAATTTGACCCGTTGGCGGTTTTAGGTATACAGCAACCTCTGGCGGTTCTAGTGTTAAATAAAGCTCTGTAACTTCCTTTAATAGCTGTGAACTTTTTTAAATCAAATGTGAGCTGAGTAAATAGTGACTATTTCCAGCTGCAGATTGATACACATTTCGCAAATCGGTTTGTTTCTACAGTATCAGGATGTAGTGAGATTGACTGAAAATAAACCGTGATTGATGAAGGAATGTGCAACAATATGATCATTGCTCATTGCTATGTTAGTCAAGGTCTTTAAACAACTATGGAGCATTATGACACACGGAAATAAGATGTGTTGGGCTTTGTCGACAAAGTTGTTCTGTGGCATAAATTAATTGGTCTCTTCATAAGATTTTGACAAGAAGGAAAATATGGGATATCGACATTGGATGTGAAATATATGATTTAATCTATTAGCTTGTTGACTACACATTCATGAGTTTTGATTGGACGGTCAATTGAATGTGTTTCCCTCTCTCTTCACAGCATTGCATGTTAATTAAAGATTCAGAAGGGGTCTCAGAGAAAATGGTTTACATTATAAAACAGTCACAAAACTGCATCAGTATTCTCCTACAGTCTGGTTTCCATGCTGGTTTCAGGCCAACCAAAATAAAAACTCAGCCAAACGTTGTGTATATCTCATTATAAATGATGTCTCAAATCCTTGCACATCCTACATATGAAAATGCAGTGATGAACAAAAAGGAAAGCTCAAAGATTGACACTGAGGTTAACTTATGGATTTCAAAACATGGAAGTTGTACAATTTGTATTTGAAGTGAGACAAGACTGTGATGAAAGATTGCCTGGTCAAGCCTTGAACTGTATCTGAATTATGGATGTATTCAGACAGTGTCATCCAACTCATATAAGGACAGTATGGTGAGATTTAAAAAAACAAAGTGACAAGGTGTTAAGGTTACCTATCAGAAAGCAAGATGCATCATTTAACTGATGACACAAGGCAGGAGACAAGACTCAACGTGCAATATTTCTGACCAAAGAACATAATTATACCGTATTAAACTGGGATTGTGAGGGCTCAAACAATCACATTAGCAGGAGCACCAAACATCACTGGACTTATTAGAGACAATCAAAGAAAGACAGGGAGATAGATGGGCTGCTACACAAAGAGCTGTTAAGACAGGAAGGAAGGAATGTAGATAGAAGGATAGAAAAAGTCTTGATGCTGTTTAGTTGTGTGCTGACATTTACCTCAACCATCTCATTCATGTGTTCCCAGGTGACACACTGCTCTGCCATGTCTGACCTTTGAAGCCAAAAAAACAACTATCAGACTTCCATGTTTGATGATCCAATTCTGGGATTCGATGCCACTGATGAAAAGTAACCAGAACGTAAGAATCAAGCAGTTCTTGTTCAGAGGAAAATACATCCCCTCCATGCTTTGACAGTCATTTGTATGTGTCTATATCGACCAGAGTAGGCAGCAGTCCAGTTTTGGTCACTCACAACAAATGTAAATGTAGGTTTGCCCTCTTCTGTTTCATCTCTGACTGTTCACATGTGTGTCCATTGTTTCTGAAGAGTTCTTCATTATGTAAAGGAAGAGTTTCTGTAATGGTTTGTCGGTGCTTCAGTATGATGGCTTTCTGCTGGTCTCAGGGTCTGGAGGAAACACATTGACTGAACTTGATGAGAGACAAAGGACAGTAAGAGTTCCGATATTGTGAAGACTGGAAAGAAAAGTACATACAATTAGAAACATCTTAAAGGTCACCTATTACGCAAAATCCACTTGTTCATGTCTCTTCTACATCACCATGTGTCCCCTCTTCTTCATGTCTCTTCTACATCAACATGTGTCCCCTCTTCTTCATGTCTCTTCTACATCAACATGTGTCCCCTCTTTGTAAAGAGACTCTGAAAGTTTCAGGAACAAAGATTCTCTCTCTTTTTGATCCATTTCTATAAAAACCTGTCTGAAAATGAGCTGATCAGATTTTGGCCACTTTATGATGTCATAACGATGTTTTGTCTTGTGTAACCATTAGCCAATCAGCAACCAAGGTATGTGTGTGTGTGTGTGTGTGTTCAGCCCTTCCTCAGTTACGTGCTGTACTCCCTGCTGGCGGCGGTGGGTCTGCTCACCCACTACCTGCTGCCTCAGGTCCGAAAGCAGCTGCCCTGGTACTGCTTCTCTCACCCGCTGCTCAAAACCAAGGAGTACTACCAATTTGAAGTCAGGGGTGAGTACATTGAATCACACATAGCCCAAAAAAAGGCAGCGTAGTATCATTACATTTTAGTTTATTTAAGATACTTTGAGGAGCTTTCCTTTCGTCTGGTTTTTGTCGGTTCCTGTGGACATAAGGGCTTTTTCCATGCACCGGGGTCCCTTTAGAAAACCTCTTACTTTACTGCAGCAGGGTCTGACTGTGTGCCCTACAGTTCCTCATAGCAACTGTAACTAAGCAAAAGGACAATATTTTTTAACAGTCTTTATTGAAGTAGCTGTATAGTTTTGTCTCTCTTAACTATGCTGTATCTCCTTTTATAGCAGCTGCTTTTTATTAAATTAAAAACGATGTGTTTCTTACTGGAACTGGAACTTTTATTGATATATTTTATACATTATGTTTTATTCTAATTTAACTTGTTTTATTTTAGTTTTCTGGACTTTTTTAATGACTGTTTTTGAATTGTATTTACATGTAATTTGACAAGGTGTTTCTTTCCAAGCACCAACATTGCCTTGTTGATGAAATGTCCTTTAGAAATACACTTGCCTTGCCTACCCCCGTGATGATATTAAGGTCTCCGTGTCCTTCCTCAGACGCGGCTCATGTGATGTGGTTTGAGAAGCTCCACGTGTGGCTGCTGTTCCTGGAGAAGAACGTCCTTTATCCCCTCATCATCCTCAACGAGCTGAGCGGCAGCGCCAGAGAGCTCGCCAGCCCCAAGAGACTCGACACCGAGTGAGGAACAGTTCTACTTATTTCTAAGATTGACAGGTGCACACGAGCGTGCTTCAGTCTAACCCGCAGATGTCAAAACACAAAGTAATGTATAATAAATGGTGTTCCTCAGGGTGGGCGCTCTGATGATCACGGTGGCCGGGCTGAAGCTGCTGCGCTCCTCCTACAGCAGCCCCACCTACCAGTACATCACCATCCTCTTCACCGTCCTCTTCTTCACCTTCGACTGCCGCCACCTGTCCGAGACGCTGCTGCTCGACCTCTTCGTCATGTCCATCGTCTTCAGCAAGGTCAGATGAACACACGACGCGCCGTGCATATATTTAATGTCACAGTCTAATGAAGTACAGATGATTCACACTACAGTTCTTCCTGTCACGCTCCGGCCACAGAAAGTCTTTCTATGACAGTGACACAGTCAGGGTGTTTTTCATTTGCTTATTTTCCCACAGTTGTCTGAACTGAAGTGTTTTTTATGTGTTTGTTTTCTCCCAGATGTGGGAGCTGTTCTACAAGCTGCACTTTGTGTACACCTACATCGCCCCCTGGCAGATCACATGGGGCTCAGCCTTCCACGCCTTCGCTCAGCCCTTCGCTGTGCCTCGTATCCTTCCACCACGCTCTGTTACAGTTATTATGATGTGCACTGTTTCTCAGGCAGAGCTGAACCACTGTAGCACTGATATGAGCCTAAATAATTGACTTAAATTCATAGTTTTTGCTGCAGTAATTATTGTTAATGATGGATTGGACTGCCCTTCCTTTTATTACATGTTACATGTTAGACATTTTTATCCAAAGAGACTTACACACTCAATACTGTGGGCAATTTGGGGGGAAGTGTCTCAGGGACACAACGACATGCTGACTGCAGTGGGGTTTGAACCTGTGCTCCCCTGATCCCAACACCAACACACTAGTCCACTGCGCCACACGCCTATATATATGTTTTTGTATGATCATGTATGAAAGTAACCAAGAAACTATGGATACACGATATGCTCCAATCTTTCCATTTTTGTATTTTCATAAAAAGTTCCCACCCTGTATTTTATGTAGACCTTTGGAAGATTTAATATTCCAGCTTAATTTAATTCACAGTCGCTAACACAAACTTAGCACAGTTCTGACTCTTACAAAACAAGCATTTATTTTCTTTACGGGAGGTAATATCATTTTTGTTTTGAAAATCGCAATCCTGTTGTCGTCCTCTTGAACTGAAAACAAAAGCACACAGCAGCAAAAACATGTTTGTTCAATTTGCTATTATTGCATTTTAGAACGTTAACTTTAGAGGTACATACCGCCACCACTGGTTCAGCGTGTGTAGGTGCAGCTGTTGTTCAGTTACTGAAAGCTATTTTGCTTCTTCAAACCGTATAATATAAGCCTATAGTACAGGTACAACAATGTCCCGTTATCTGTAAGAACTATAAGAATATAAAAGTGACATTAACCAACACGGACACTTATTTCACTTTTTTAAACTATTTTTCTTTTTGTATTTACTGTTTACTATTACTTGCACTATATGTTTCTGTTTATCTGTGTTATTGTGTTGCACTGTTGGAGAAGCCTGTGACCTAAGAATTTTCCATCGGCATAACTACACTGTAGATATGATATATATAAGTGAATTAATTTCAGTTTTCCGCACAAACACTGCGCTAGTGGATTGTCAAAGGGGGAGCCTCGTTGCGGGGAAATTATACAGATGGCTAGTCCGCCCCTGAAAATGTCTATGCAAACGTTATTATTAATAATTAAAACAAAAAATT